CCCCCCCCCCCCCCCTATCAGGTCTTTACGACGCCTTAATCATATATTTTTAGCTAAATGGGAATTGAATAGCGGCTTGATCACTGAGCCAAAATAGTGATGAAAGCAGAAGTTTTTCTGAGTGATCAATTCTTTTCCGGGTGCTCCCACGCATGATCAATTCTTTTTTCGGGTGCTCCCTTGCATTCCAATTTGTTTACAATTATAGCGGCGTTGGAATGCATGCCTAACCTCGACTTACGGGGTTAGCCGATGCACAAGTCAGTGGTTCTTTTTTTCACAGACGAGTCTGATACAAGTTTATTGTTCGGGAAGGGATGGAAGGTAGGTCTGACTGTCAGAATATCGCCTTAGAGTTCGTTTTGCGGACCATACTCGCGGTAATACCTGCGTAGTAGTGCTTGAAGACATTCTGAAGTAAATCAGTGCCAATCTGAAGCCATGAACTTCTCCTTGATCAAACAGCATTGTATATAGGTATGATGCCTCTGGTCAGATCGGCTGTGGGAAACTTCATGGGCGTGAAATCGTAGTATGGCTTTTATTTGGTCTTTTAAAGATTTTTGGAACCGCTTCAGAAGCTGCCACCCATGAAGCTCACCATAGCTGGTCTCCTGACCTTACGTAGTACCAAGACTCATGGGCTCAGCAAAATATCTGATTCTTCATATGGAATTGGATCAAATCTAGTAATTATACCCGACTACCCACCAGAAAAGTGATGACACCTCCCCGGAACGATATCCAGTCCTCCGTAGTGGAATTTGTTATTACACGAACGGCGACAGTTGAAAGAAATCGCCGGCGCTGAGTAGATGAGATTTCACACCCTCCCGATCTCGTCCTGATAAAAACTGCGCACTCGGGAAGTGGCGTTCTGATCCGTTGTCGTACAATCAAGCCATGGGAAGACAACCCATTGTCCTGGTTTGACAATAACGAAGGGTTCTATAGTTGAATCACGGAGAAAGCTGGAAGGGAATAGTATGGGAGCGTACTGGGTGAAACTGCCCTAACGAACACAGTTCTTTTCGATATGGAAGAGCTATCAAGCTCGTGGCCCTCGAGGACTATAAAACCAAAGTGTGCTCAGATTTCTGGAAACTCTGAGTTTCTCAAGGTTTTTGGCTAGCTATTCCAGGTAACCTAGTGCTATATGAAGGCGGCTTTACACATTTTGCTGGGGTTCACATTGGATGAGTGGATTGGAATTGATTTGAATGGCAGAATAAACTCCTGTGTGCCTGGTCACAGTCATGATTTGTCATGATTCACCATCCTAGGCATTTGGCCCACGTGAGAGAAGCTCACATTCATAGAGATTGTAATTGTTCTCTCAATGAACATCGACTTCGCAACCGCACCGCGCGGAACGCCACGCCCACTGCAAATTTTTCTTTTAATTAAAATTCTCTTCATGTAACAACCTTTAGTGCAACCGAACAGTTATGGTTTTGATACCACTCTTTTTATTGTCACACGTTGTAGCTTAAACGTGACCTAGGGGGTATGAAGCTGAGCCATGCGTTTGTCTTTCCGTCAAAATGACTTTTAACGATTAGTAGCATGGGAGGATTCGTTCTGGTTTGTTGTTCTAGAGCTTGAGCTTCTTTTTATATTTTAATTTGAACTACATACAGAGTGGTGAAAGCACTCCGTGGTCACCCAAGACCGATGGGACTTTCATTGGACAGTCAGTTCCCGTTGTGTCGGTTCTATGCTCTCAGAGAAGTTCACTAGCCCTTGAATGTGCAAATCCTTTTGGCCAGAACGAGTCGAAACCGTTGGCGATTCGAGTGTGATGTGAAGCCTTTACCATAGTTACTAACGAGCCATGATATAGTGGGGCGCAGTTGATATCTCCTGGTTACTAACAATTCAAAGCAGTAATGCCGTCATTTCACCTTGAATCGAGTGTAGATAGGTTTGCTGGCTGGCTGGCCGATGATCGTCTATCATTCGATCTATTCGATGCAGCCAAGTGGCCGATTTCAAGGCCATTCGATGCTGTTGTCGTCTCAATTTCAACACTTATCGCTTCGAAATTCGTAGCTGTCGCCACCAACGCCGTGGTGAAATGTTCGTTTTTACTCTTCGCTAATCTCTGGACGCGATCGCAAACGGCTACGAATCGATGTCGTTAGCTGGTGGTGTTGGGGATGCAGTGAAACGATGTTGAATCTCATGCGGATGATGGGATCTGTACGCCGAAAGACCACAATCAACGGTTATGTCAGGGTAGGAGAACCACGACAAGCATCGTTGCTACCGCAGCATCGAGGGTCATCAATGAAGTCTCAGATTGAGCTTAACATAATCCACCAAGTCGTTCAGGGTTTGTGCCTGAGCTTCACGTGATCCACAAGTCGTTCAGGTTTCTGCCCATTTGGGAGAATGAAAGTGTACGAACCAAGTATGAATTCAGTATTACTACAACTTTGTAATGGGTGCATGTGGCCGACGATTTCCTGCATAGTACTGACCAAAGTCTCAAATATCAACAGAGGGTGTGAGGAATGCCTCAGATTTTATTGAATAAAGTAGGTAATTCGGAAAGTGATTAACTAGAACGAGCTCAAAGCTACTCGAGACTCCGGAGTGCGCCGTGTATCCGAAATTTTTTTTACTTAAATAGTGATAACGAGAACCGAAGGGCAGAGACGGTGTACAGGCAAGTGGCACACTACACGCACGCATGTTCACGGGTTCTAATCCCGGACCGATATCTGTCCAGGTCAACCGAGCCTTACACCCCTCGAGGTCGGTTTATTGGTACCAGACTCGTCTGGGAGGACTTGTACATCGGCTGGCCACCGCAAGTCATCGTATTGGCCACATACGTATTCAATGCGCCAGTACGATTCTGAATGAAAGTCGAATGCGTGGGTGCATCTTTCAGGCAGGATTAACTAACGCCCCGAGACTTCAAGACTTTAACGAGAATCAATGTGAGCCTGGGTATTGCTACCCTGCAGGCGTATTTCCGTTACCGATCAATCAAGTTTGCAGTGTTGGAAGACTTGACTGGCATGAATGGAATTCTCGGGGTGCAGGGCGGCGCTTAGCAGCCATTGCGTTGATTTTGATGATAATACAATTTAGCTTGATTCAGAAGATATCTCTTTTCTGGAGCTCCATAGCTGAAAATCAAAATAATTATGGCTACCTTCGCTTAGCCCGTTTCCACTGGCCCTAGGGATGTTTCTCCAGTCTTTAGAGAAGCAAAGATATCCCTGACCTTTTATTTTGCGGGAAGAATCTTCACACAGTGGAGAGTAGCTACTATTCCAGAATCCTCACAAAGAATGGCACAATTTCTTGAAGGTTTTATGTATTTCCTACATATATTACCCATAAACTTATTTGTGGTGGGTCCATGTTCACCCAAGTAAATTCAGTAGAAGGATATTATGCAAACAGTTGGATGGCAGACAATAACACCAACCTGATAGAAATGCACATAATAATTGGCAGTGGGCTCATTCTCTATGCATTTTTAAAGGGTGTAAACCGATAAACCGATTTTAGCAGCTGCTTTTCAATGCAGTGTTGAGATTGACAAAGGAACTACCGCCATCAATGATGCTCAAAGAATTTTCGAATTGCAAACTATAGGATGAAAAACGAGCTCTCAAAAGATTGATGGGGTTCGACAAGAATGCTCGAAAAATCCCGATGTATGAAAATATATTAGACAGATGGTACCGGGATCAAGGGTCTGCTGCTAAATCTGTGGCAGTTCTATTTTTTGTTTGAAGCAGAGATCAGACTACTGAACGGAATGAGAAAGGGTTCTAAGTACTGATATGAAACATTCCAGGGGTTTTTGGTGCTCATAAAGCAAAACCCTCGAAGATCCCTTCCTCTTTTCCGATAGAGCTTTCCCAGAGGGCAGTTGGGTTTCATTTCTATAACTTCTTAAGAGACTGGAAAGGGAAGAGGAATCTTAGAGATACCCTTTTCTGCGACCCCAGGTCATGGAAGAACGCGACAAGTTGTGGAGAAACTTATATCCCAAAGCCGGGATAACTGTACGTACTTATTGTTTATTGTTTAATGTTTAGTGCGTCATTCGACATGCCGTCAAACAACAAATATGATGCATAGAGACAAAAACTCAAACTGAAAGAACTAATCACCATAACAATTACTTATCAGAAAATCAGAAAATTTTCGAAATCTTCTCTTCGGTGAGTGGCCAAATATGTTGATGAAAGGGCTTGGCGACAAGCGTGCTTTTATGCAAAGTGTCGAGGGGTGCTTTTACTTTCCACATTTGTGGGACTTATTTTCATTTTCACAATCCCAACTTCCATTTCCCTTGTACTGGTTGCTCATACTGTCTTTAGTCCTAGTCTGCAATAAGTAAACCTTTTAAAACAAGTCTGAATGATATTATTTTGGTTACACCCATACATTCCGGGTCCGGGTGATCCCTCGAAGGGATGGTGCATCAGCCCTCCCTCTAGTATTCGATTGATTACTAATTTTATTGATATTGAACCCACTAATAAGAGACCCCAATTTCACTTTTGAGAAGTAGACAGACTTTGAGAAGAAGCTCCTACTTTATGAGAATTAGAATCGTTCGCTATGTATTGAAAAATATGGTGATGTTTACAAATTTAGCATAAATAGGGCTCTCTGAGGTTCATTCCGTACAAGGACTGAGCTGGGATGACCGCGGCCACGCCAATAGTCGCCACCCTCCCGTTTGAACCCTATTACCTAAGCAGCCAATTCGCTCATCTCTTCGAAATAGTCTTAGGAACGGGCAGAGGGAAGGATCTAGTATAATGGTAAGATCAAGAAGACTCTGATTACTCAGGAAGGCAATCATGATGTCGTTATATTTCCAGAATCCAAGCAGTTTGTATTTCGGGACATATTTCAACCTAGTGTTATTCAAGATCCAAATCTCTGCTTATTTTTTCTTACTCCTTGCAATCGAGCAACGAAATGATTAGCTTTCTGTTGTAATGCCAAGGTTTATGTGAAGAATTCTCGCCTATCGAAGTCTTTATAGTGTAAAGTGAAGGAATTCTAAGTCTTTTTTTTTCCTTCGTGCATAACGGAGACAACAGGACCCGAAAAACTAGAAAGGGTGGATTGTTGTTTTAAAATTTTCACCGGAAACGAAACAATGTGTGCAAAAGAACAAAACAGCATAAGGTAAATTGTTTTGTTCAGCATTGGCCAATGCCGTTCAGGAATGTCCCACGCAGACGATTCCCTTTTCAAATTTATTTTCAAATTTAAGGTGACATATGAAGGATGTACTGATAGCGTACTTATTCTAGATACCATTTTCTTCTGATTTACTCCTTCCTGAGAGAGTTAAGGGTGGGGAGGGGGAGAACTGAAGGTTGTTAGGATAGTACTTGAGCTAGAAATTTCAGGCATATAAGATAGAGGAAAACTTGACGGAATCTCTTCTTTTTTTAATAAGTTTTCTGTTTATTTGTTTATCAATTTCTTTGTTCATTTACCATCTGGTGATCAGCTGGTGATCCTTTCTTTCAACTAGGGAAAAAGCAACTTTTTCTTCATCATATGCACCATTATGCACCATCTCTTGTACCCAGCTTGGTCTGAACAAATAGGGATCCTTTATTACCGTTTCCATTTTTCAGCAAATATGCTTTCTATTGTTTACAATGGATTCGTTTGCTCCATATTTACTCATATTTTTCAATGATCATTATAGATTGTCAGTTATATATGCCCCTGTTGGTCTGGACTTCTAGATTGATCGGGAAGCGGAAGCTAACTATTTGCGAGACACCAATTTTTGAAGGGTGGCGCGGGGATGAGGTACCCACTATGCTCCTCAAAGTGAACAAAAAGCTTCAAAAATAACTCAAAGCTGTGGCTTATTAGCTGTGAAGAAGGCGAGGGAGATAGGGGTCTCGTTGGTGTAAGGGATAAAGGGCACGATGCCCGGCCATCCAAACCCGTCCGTGGTCAAAGCCTTGCTTACAAATCACCTACAAACCACCAAACTTGGGGGTATTGCACAAATTACCATTTTGAATGGATTGGTTTCTGTTCATATTCATGTTTTTGCAGTTATAATGGTCCAGGCTTATAATATCGTTTTAAATCTAAATCCTATCTCTGAAAGGTGCTTTCTCAAGTCCTAGATAGCTGCAGGGTCTGCTTACTGCCACTTGATTTGTCTAGATGGCCTGAAGCACTATCCACATAAGCATTTCTCCCGCAAGGACTTTTTTCCAAAACCGCTACTTTCCCGAATGTCGAACTCGATTACTTGGGCGCATATCTGAATGGGACTGATCAAGACCTAAATACTCGGGAATTTTCCTACTTATTTCCTACTTTATTTTCCCACTTATTGATCGCGCATGTACAAAAATGGACATCAATGTTCAGGGAGTAAAAAGTCTAGCTCTGGATGTTATTCAAATAATCGACTTTATCGTTTTCATTGTTTTTTTTTTGGTATTTTCGAGAACAATTAAATTTTTTGCTTTCTCAGAGCAGCTGTACAGTTCCCATTCTTCCGGGGTGTCAGTAACTGCCATCGTTTTATTTGTACTAAGTGAATCATTGACTGAATAGGTGGTTTCGTAACCATAATGGGATAGTCTTTCAAAAAGTGCTTGATTCATTCTACGTCAAGTCTTTTGATAGCGATCAAATTGACGCAATAAAATATCGGTGCTCTGGTATGTTTGTCTAAGGAATCACATGCCGCTTAAGGTGTTTTAGCAGTTCGGTCGGCACTGATCTCATGGCGCTATCGTTTTCCGTTTTCTCACCCATTGTGATTGTATTGTGATGGCAACTAATGTGGTCAGGTGATAGCCGTGTAGATAAGGTTCGCCAGAATTTCGACAATGACAGAATTGTAAAAGTACCGGAAATGTGTACCCCCGTCTGAGTCATCATGCCCGTTTCGGCACCTTTCACTGCTTTTCCCCCTCGATAGCTAAAGGCAGGGGGAATCCCTCAGGGACAATATGTTTTGGGTTTGAAGGGGTAGGGTTGGTTGCAGAACGTCTTGACCATGTAGCAAGTTGAAAAACTAGATTGCAGTAGAAATAATTGGGGTATCTTCTGAAACATGGCTCTCTGTAGGTGCTCTGATTCATCGTTGGGTCTGAAAAGCGTATATGGGAAAGGGTGTGGTGAGTGCAGATGAGTAAGAAGGAAAGTGCCCAGTCACCTCAGGTTACTGTAGGTTCTCTGATTCATCATAGGACCTAACAGTCACCCGAGAATGAATATGTGACCTGCATGTCATTTGTTAAAGTTATCGTCCACAATACCAGTATGTTCTGGAATCCCATCATTAGAACTGTCAGCAACAAAAGAAGGATAAAGTCTTTGGGCGTTGATCAATCCCGTCTGAGGGATGGCGCCCAGCATTCGACTTCAATTCAGAATCGTAGTGGCGTATTGAACGCGTATGTGGCCATACAATGACTTGCGTTGGTCAGCCGATGTACAAGTCGGTGCTTCCTGTTCTCCCAGACGAGTCTGGTACCAATCAATCAACCCTGGAGGGATGGTAGGCTTGGTTGGCTTAGACGGATACCGATCCGAGTTTTGAACCCGTGATCATGAGTATGTGAAGTGCGCCACTTGCCCCTAGACCACTTCGGCCCTCAAGAAAATGGCGCTGAAGGGCCTGAAATCTTCTGATCTCTTCAAATGTCCAAACCTCATTTCCGAACGTCCCATGTAGGCGGGGTTCTTCTCATCCAGCTCCTGTGAGAGCTGGAGTATTGTATTGGTCAGAGGCTTTTCATCTTCTCAACCTACACGGAAGCAATTCAAGAAAAACTGCGTTAGAATGTCCCTTCGCAGTTTTCCCAGACGAAAGTTACGGAAGAATCTTCCACTCAAAGCCAAAAGATACGGTAGGGTCTTTGAACAAAATATGCAACATCTGCAACCGTTAACGCCTAGGAGGGGGAAGGGAGGCAGTTTATCAGAGATGGAGATTGGGCAAGACAAGAATTAAACAGCAATTTGCCCTTTCCCTAATCAGATTCTATATAGATGTAAAGAGAGCTGGAAATATTTAAGGAATGCAATCTACAGTTTCCCAATAGTAGCTGCCTAGAATAGAGCACAATGTAATGTTCCTAAGTGGAATGGGAAGAATGAAATGGGTAGACTTTGGCCTCCATGGTACAGGGAGATGATTTAACATGAGCGCTCTTCTCCATCTACATTGAAAGATGCTCTACGGGCTCATAAGACTCCACATAGGCCATGGTCAATTCGAAAGCCCATTAGCCTTTTCAAACGTTCTCTGTGGTCTTTTTAGATTGTTTTTTGAATAGCGGAGGTGTGCGAATATGGGATGGATGTAAAAGCTTTCTGATGAAATGCAGATTGTATGCCACGTTAGGGAACTGTCTACATGTTTTACATAGAAGAATGAATCATTGGAAAAGGTTGCGAAAGTTAGCGGGATTGGGGTTGATGCCATCATGGTGAGCTCCTTTTTACCTCCTTCGGTACCTATTCTCCCGAGTGGGGCAGAGAACAAAGTAATGGCCGCTCATATACATGGTCTGATCCGTTATTCGCTCACGCCAACCATTTCTTCCATCCCTGCGGGATCGAACGGTGTCAGATTCATCTGATCCGTAAGAACACTTACTCGTACACTGGCCAATGTCACTGAGCCATGTACGCATTCAGGCCTTGAAGACCCAGTTCACGATAAAAATGGTCTCTGAGATTCCCCTACAGTATGAATCCGAGGCTTCACTTATACCATACCTACCATTGTAAGGTCGAAAAACGTCTTGGATAGAGCACAATAAGGAGCCAGGGATTGTATCGTGTGAATGCCCCACCCATCGTGGACGAGTTTCAACGGCTTTAAAGAGGTCCCACTATCTCGAGAGATTTCCATGTAGGAAGTTCAAACAACTTGTGATAACCTGCGGCGACAGTGAAAGGCAGTTTCGGACAATTCCGGCTCGTTGTAGTCATCTCATTGAGCAGTGGGAACAAGGTAAATCTCGTCCAAACACCCCTTACTGCCATTTCTGTCGCGGTGATCTCGTACAACCTCCACTTCTACTACTTTTAAAAGGGTCTTAAAGTAGGCGGATTTCCTCGCTTTCTTCGCCACCAATGTACTCCTCTACATAAATACTTCCGCATTTCAAAAAAAAAGCACCCCAAAATTATCGTGAACTATCCCTTTAACTACGGTCCTAGATTATTGGGGGCTCATGAGGGTCAGTGGTCAACGATAACTCAAAAAATTCAGCATATCTGTTCAAAGTCATTACTCTCTTCTTCTTATCAAAATTCTGAGGAGTGCTTATCAAGGAGTGACTGATTTTTTACAACCACCTGAATAACTCATCACTGTTACTATCTTTCCTTTGTACCTGCTTGATTTCATATCTTGCCAGAGGCTCTCATGCGAGTTTTTCAGGACGTTCGCGTTGGACGACATCGCGACAAGCTCGAGCTAATCCGGGACTCTCTACGACCATTTGAGCAGACTGTCAATGAGGTTCCAACGACGAATGCTGTCGAACAAGCGGCTTCGGCGACGGGCGAATCGACAACGAACTCGCCAACTGTCGAACAGCAACGTGCCATGGTAGATAGCCTTATCGCACAAGGCTATGAACAGGTAGAGTTTATTCAGTTCCAGAAACCTCTAGAGTTGATCTTCGGGGGTTCGTTCCGCAGGCAAGAAGGATTTCCGGTTATCGGATGTGGTCCAGAAAAATGAGGGTGTGGGAAGCAGTACATGGTCCATTCCGTCCCTATTTGATCTGGATAGTAGCGGTCGAATTAGAGTCAGCGAATCCACATCAGCTCCGAGGGTGATGTATAAGCTTACTACCCAGTATCTTTGTGGGTATTAGCTACCTGACCAGAATGGTCTGTCTTGGTAGGTCTTGGTAGAGCTAGGTCCAGTCAACGTCGTGTTGCCATCAGTACCTGCCCATCCCTGACTTTCCTTTTCTTCATAGTCTTTGGTGCTTTGCGAAAACCGAACCAGTCCGATAGCAGTAACAGTTTGGCCTGGAATGCCATTCACCACAAGAAAACGTTCCTGAATCATACTTCCGGTAGAAAACGCACTTAGGTGAAATCCTTTTTATACTGGCAGTGTTGACATTAAACAGCCGCCATCGGCGATGAATGGTAAAGCGGAATTTCTGGCTGACTCATTTCGTTGCATTCCAATATTCCAATAACGTCAGCATTACTAATGTGTAAAGTATGTGAACAACGGCCCGCCGACCAGCCAGCCAGCCAGCCACTTGGTCGCCAACGACTTTGCGCAAGTTTCCTGGCGGGATGTCATTTTCTCTAATGGCAGAGAAAACACGGGAAGTTGAATCGGAAATGATACACAGCGAGTCAAGAGAGCACGGGGTTCTTTTCGGTTATCATCGAGAGTCTTCCAAGGTATTCGATATGCTCGAAAAGGTAGGGAACTCAGAGCGCGACATTAGAGAGGAATAAGATGATAAATTCAAGGGGCTCAAGATGGACACCCTGGGTTTACTCTTGGGGTGGAGTAGGCAGTAGTCAGAGGTTCGGCCATTTGGCCATACGTGGGTTTACGTCTTCTGCGAACAAAGTTTGTTTCCTGAAAAAGAAGCTGGAATCATGCCATAAAGATTAGGTTCTGAGCTTGATTCTGTCGCGAAGTTTGCAAGGAAATCATTGGACCCTTTCCATCCTGGGGGGCCAAAATCGATCTCCGAATCCACAGAAGCTTCAAAACTGATGGTACGGTACATGGGTATCACCCGTATCACTTGTCCTTGATCATCGATTTGTTCGAGCACGCCAGTAACGTCCCTATCGACTGTCGCGAGCTGTTGGTGTCCAGTGTCTTACTTCAAGGGATACGAAGAAGTATGGTCGACCGTTCCTTCCGGTCAGAGCTTTCGTGAAGAAGTCGGCCACTACCGTGCTGGTGGCGGTCGTGGTGTCCTTCTGACGTCTTTAGGGATCCAGACGACAATATCCACCCGGGTCCAACCGCAATAACAAAACCCGATCGTCGGTTTATGTATTGTAAGCGAATTGACTGACTTGATCGAGCTTCTTCAAGTTCGGGTTTTTCAGTAGTCAATAAATCGATTTTTCTATAAATTGGGTTTACGAGAAGCGTTAAAGGCAGGAATGAGAATAATACTATTGAGCCTCGATCCATGATTTCTATGGCCGAATACGGCTTGCAAATCCTTATACCATGCAGTTATTTCCCTTGCCCCGTTCTGATTAAGACCGTCATCCTCCGCTTAAAATGAATTGATACCAATAAATGTTCAGGATGCGGCATTCTACGCTCTGAAACTCGTCAAATTTGCCAGTCCGGAAGCTGCTATTGACGTCTTGAAACACATAAATCATGATCATGCCCATATGGAAGAAACCAAGAATGTCAGTACAGCTTTTTTAGAGATTCCTCGAATTTTCTCCAATTAGAACCTTTTTCAGGAACGCCTCCTATGTGTCCTTCCCTCGGGTGCACCAGCTCTGAATGGAAACCTCCATGTACAGACTTCTAGAGTAACCACTTTCTAACTGCTCTGAATCTATGCTTTATTGAAGAGTATCCATCGATTTTTTTAATAAAAGTTAAATTTCAGACTACTAATGGGGCGTCAAATGGGAATTTGTATCCGATGCAGTTTGTGAACGTCGAAGATAGGTGGGCAGGCAGTAAACCACTGTTTCTCCTACGATTTTCCTTGTTAGACTACGTGACATCTATTTCTCCCATTTACAGTGCCTCATCACGCTCAACATCCCCACTGCCACCGCAAATGCCCTCCCCATCAAGTGCAATGGGGTCGTACACGACTTCTGGGCCAGGTAGCGGTGGCAGTAGCCAAATGTCAGTCCCCTCGACAACGTCGTCATTTGTCTCAATCGCTGCCGGTCCATCAACGACCTCATCACCCATGTCTACATCTTCGGGAGCTCAAACGACTGCGTCCGGTGGACAGTTATCCAATTCACAATCACCACACAAAGCACTTCGACGACAATACACCCCTGTAGCACCGGACTATCACAGAACACACGTTCATATATCAACGTCAGTGATATTTTTTATTATGTTTTTTTTTACTACTCATCAACAATTTGAATACCTCTCCCTTCCCAGTTTGCACCCACGATACCCCTTTCTTATGTCTCATTTGTGGAACAATTCCCTGATACTTTGTTCCTTGCTCCCCTCATGGAAGCTCCATCTCAAATGAGCGGATTCACGTATAGTCCACTTTTTATCGGCATTTTCCGAAGGGTTGAATCGTGTCAGTACATTCAGAAACATTGCCGTGACATACATGACATACGCGGCTGACTCTTCCCCGAATTGCAAGCGGCAGTGGTTCTTCGATGTCTACCGTAACCTTCCGTTGAGGGATCAAACTTTCCCTTTCACAGCGCGCGATTAGGTGCGGCGAGCGTGACACAACTTTCGGGGAGAAGTACCCACACCTCACACACACTGCTTTGTGTATGTCATGGCGATGTTTCTGAGTGTGGGGATATTCCGGATCTGGGCTCAACTGAAACGAAGGTGAAAAATGCATACTCGGAATGGAACCTCCTACCAGAGATTTCTGCTTTTTGAGTCCTTCTAATTGTTCGGTTTCTTGCATTTTGACCTCCTCTCATCCATTGCACTGAGCTTATACTTGACATGAATTTTACTGGATTGTTTGTTTCTAAACCTATCGACTGTCAGTGAGTGGAGAGGAGTCCCAAATTCTCGTCTGAATACAAGCCCGGAGGGCTAAAATCAATTCCAACCCAATTAATAAGAGATCGTTCAGAACCCCCTACAAACCGGATTTCTATCAGCAACAAGCCGTCCGCTCACAACAAGCCAATTACAAGCCGTCGATTTTCATCGAACGAGGGCCTGATAGGTATAGAACTCCTTCTTTTCTATCTTTACTACTTTTGGTTCACTTTTAGGCCGATTAGGAGGTGTCTTTCCTTTTCCAGGCCGAGCGGCGCTATGAAACAGCACTACGTGGTCCGGGATACATTCAAAAGTGCACTGGACTCATCTATGTCGGCCCCAATGGGTCAATCGACGTCCCATGTCCAAATCGGTGGCATGCCTTCCCATCTAAACCGATACGGACAACAACCTCCTCATGCGGTAATTCGGACGACTTTCAGTGCTGCACCCCTGAAGAGTATGGTGAATATAAATGTGTCGCCCATTAATAAGGTAAGTGGCCCCCATTCAGACTATGTTCCCAGGGTGTATCTCATGGGTGATGAATCAGATCCTTTTTTTNTTTTTTTCAGAATACCGAAACTCGTACATATCGATTGGATGTGACCGGACGAGATGGGGGTGTGTCATCGGTGCATGGTATTCCCGGTTCCGTTACCGGTGTTCAGAATATCATAGTGGATCCGGATAAGGCACATCGCGGTTTTGTCGGCTATGAAGATGAACTTCGACCGAAGCACGTCTGTGCTGACGTCGTGCCATCGACGTCGAAAGAACCCATCAGGCATGAACGATTGGAGCGTAGCTATGGAGTAGCAGCGATGCAGCAGCACTCCTCTTCAAGGTAGGATGACGATTGTTTTGGGGTGTTTTGTCGTGAATTCCCTAAATACAGCTCTCATAGACAGAAAATGCATGATTAGGGGTAATGGAAACGAAATGGAAAGAATGGGGGTCGCTGGTAATGGGATTTACCCAATTGCCCTACAAATACCATAAAGGGTTTGAGGATGGCGTGTGATCGAAGGGATGGGACCTTAGGATGGTGTGGAAGGGCGATTGTCGCTTATCGGATGAACAAGCTGTTCCATATTCAGCTTGTGGAGAGGTGAAGAGGGGAGTGGGACAGGTGGACTGAGCTTGTTGTGGATGGTAAGCATGGTCGGATCCAGAAATAGCTCAGAAGTGTTGGTATGCAGAGAGGTAAAGGGCAGAGGTTTGCAAAAACTGATGGATGAGCGCATTGTTGATGGCAGGAAATAAAAGCTGCCACAGTAGAAATGAATGGAATGTGGGAGCGTGAGAGAACGGCAAGTCAGTGAGGAGCACGTGGGAGGATTGAAGTGATAGGTTACCACGTTGTGAACATTTTCATTGCACTATAAATAACACGTGAAGTGAGGTAAGCGAGGAGAAGGGGAGAGTGCAAATGGTCTGAGAAATATTTGTTATTGATAAAATGACGGTGCCATATGGATTCTGAGTTTCGCCATGCTCTCTGATTCCGCTTCGAATCGTGGAAAGATTGCTAGGCATATCTAGCTCTCAGTTAAGCTTAGTACAATGTAGAAGTCTTTAAGTGTTAGTATTGATTCACTTTCTTATCAGGTAGTAGAAGTGCTCTTTTTTCCTCCACTAGACCCGCCCTCCACCAATTTAAAAAAATATTAAATTTTGCTGATGCTACTCACGTATTTAGAAGATACTGTAGTTCAAAATATTCGATGGGGTCGGTATATGGAGTTTCGCAGCGAAATACGGTTCGGAAGATGGTGGATAGGATATAAAATTCCCTCAGTTCTGACGTCAGCACTCATGTGGTAGCTTAGCGGAATTCGGGTCCTTACTGTATTATCTGTTGCGATAATGTCGTACATCGAACCCTCGCATGCCACAGTTCCTTCCCAGCTTCGATCTGCGGAATCGTCCGACCAAGGAGAAATCAAAAATAGGATTAAAAGAAAGATTGGGAAACTGTTTCCAGTACATACGTAATGATTGATCCATGGGTTCAATTTTTTGCTTTTCAGAGGTGATCCAGCACAACCGGCTGTAACCCGTTGCACGTCACCATTACCGGAATCGATAGCTAGTCGTTTGAAGCAGCAGAAATATGAGAAATATGTCAAGCCATGCAAACCGCGAATGTTTTGCTTCTTTATGGAACAACATGTCGAACGATTATTGGCTCAATACAAAGAACGAATGAAACGAGCACATCAGGTTTGTTTCAGTGCTGGTTTTTAAGACTTCTTGAAAAAGCAGCTGCTGAGTTAGTGTGGAAATGCAAACCTTGGCTGCACTTCCCATTAAGTTACCAGGAACTTTATTTGACTTTTTTACTTACTTATTTACATGGGCCTAATAGACTCGCCAAATGAATGAGTAAACAAAGCTGACTTCAGAAGGCTCTAAGGGTGGGAAGATGAACAAAAAACGGTCGACATAAAGCCTGGGCACATGAGGGCATTCAGTATGAACAATTCTGCTATGGGATGTGCCATGCATCTTTTTCACTGTCTGGATTACAATCACATTGGGTGCGTACTCACTCTGTTAGTTGCAATCAGGGTCAAGCACAGCATCACCTAAATTTGTTTTCCAATACCGCATTTACTTTCCTGAGGATTTGACTATTTGCTACCGAAATCCCCCATTTAAAAGTAAGTCCTAGCATCCTCCCCTTGCGGTCTACTCTCATCTACCACGGTCTCTTCTGTTTGCTTCCTCAGTTTTTCTCCACTTTGCAACAAAGAACCGGGAGGCAGGAGGAGAGGTGAATTTTGCCCTCCTTGACGATCTCTGCTATAAATTTGAATCATCCGATCCCTCGTTGGACGGGATCGGATGAACTCGCGAACGGAACACTCACTCATATTTTTCGTCTAAACAAGCACAGCCCGCATTGTCTCTTCCTCTGTTACATAGTTAACATTCCCCCGTCCCTGCCTGCAATGCGAGTCGACAAGTTGTTGTTTTAACCTCTCAGTTATTCCATACGGGCGAAGAGCTGATTGCTTTCTCTAAACAACGAAACTTTTTCGGCCTCAGCAAATTCGTCTACACCACAGGCTCATTCTGGAATGCCATCTTGGACTATGTATGCGGGAGAGGCCCGATTCTTTTTCTCCAATCGTATTCTGTATTGAAGATTTGAGAAGGGCTTCATTAATTGACATGGTAATTTCTAAGCTGTCTGAATAACGGAGAGTGGTCTCAAAAGAAATGAATTTGAGCCGGCAGGGGTGAGCCATTTGCTGCTACGACTCGCATTCACCAGAGCATCAGGAACGTATCAGTAAAAGTAACAGTCACGGATACAGGATCGTACCAGTTACAGGAAAAAAAAAGAAAAATTCTTAGCTTTTTTTGAATTTTAAGTTTTTGAACTATCGATGACGAATTCCGGTAATTATTTGTATTATTTGCCACCTAAATTGTCATTCTAAGCCAAAAGTGGTCGGAAGTCATCAGCGTGCGTACGCGACGCGTCAGAATGACGTCAGTTGATCGCGTTGACTGTGAACAACGTCGTGGCCACTGCGCGTCACTGACAAAGAATATGCTTCTTCTTTCGGACCGTGGCTGTCATCTTCACTGAAAAAGGCTACGGTGCAGTTAGCTTGCGTCAATATTTTTTTGCCGTAACTATTTTGCTCCGACTTCCCAGTAAAGGGTAAAGTCAGCGCTAGTGAAGACATAGTCGCGATGAAGTTATCATGCATGCGTCGCGCACCCGCGCCTGTGAGTCATTCTGGTGAAAATCCCTTGACTGCCTATGAGAAAGCATTTTAGGAAAAATTTATTTGAAACTACTTTGAACTATCAGGAATCATTCAGGTTAACTTATTTATTTATTTATTTGAATACACCCAATGGTGTGCCATACAACATAAGGGCATGGACATTGTGGTATTTTTGAAAAAGCATCTTTTAGCTGCAACGAGAAATGGAAGCTGCGAATTTGACAGAACCAATGAAGCAGAAAATGATGGATTTCTTACAACAGAAGGAGTCCAGGTAAATTTACCTGATAGAATAGTTCATGTTTTTTTATTTGTTTATTTATTGTTGCACTCATGTTCAACACAAAGCTAAAAAGAAATGAGTCAAAGCGGCGCCATCACCTCAAGCAAAGAAGGAAAAAACGAATTCATCTCGCATGTGCACTTAGATACTTGTGTGACTTCCTTCTCTTTCCTTTTTTGACCCGGTCCAAATCCTTTACTTGGTAGGATGTAGTGGAATCTCCCACTCCCAGCTCAGTGGGAGAATACAAAACATTAAATCGTATCTAGAAAATCTTGAATCCTACTAGTCAAATGGCCAACCTTCTGCAAATCCATCAACGTTGACGTCCCTCGTCGGCTGCGGCAGAGCAGAGTAAAACGATGACTTGAACACGCAGCTTCGAGAAGTCCGAGCATGGGAGTTTGCGTGGCTTTTCCCGAAGGATGGATGAGAACCGGCCATGGCAGGTGATAGTAATCGTTTGTTACCTAACCAAACAGTGACTAACAGGAGCTCATGAGTGGGCAATACGGCGTTTATATTTGAGAAGAAACGAGTGTCTCAATGGCATTGGTATCCCGCGATTCGATTTCCGGAACATGTGTTCGACAGTTCGTCACTCGAATCTGCACCACCTTCTCCGATACCGTCAGTGCACCATGATCATCACATGTCGTCTCGTTAATCTTATTGTTCTCGCTCGAGGGACACGGCGCGAAACATTCCTTTCGTTCAGAGCTTTCGGGAAGAAGTCTGACCATCGCGTTGGCGGCCGTACTGGTGTTATTTTGACGTCCCGAGGGATCCAATCAGTAACTGCCCTGGTCCAACGTTCACTACGATATCGCATGGAGTGACCGGCCCCTCTGATCTTGATTTCTTGGGTAGGCAGCGGCAACCCTGATATTCGTTCGTTAACGGAGCTAGGAACTTCGGATTCCCCTCTGCACTTAACTGTGTAGGGATCACTTTATTAATATGTTCACAAATATTAAATTTGCGATATTTAAATTTGTCTCTGAAAAGTTATATGTATCCGGATTGATTTTAAAAAAATCCAAAAGCATTCTACTAATTCATGCAAAAGACCGTGTCTGTTTTGTTTTTTTTTTTCTATTCACCTGGTGCTTTAGGTATATGCGACTTCGACGACAGAAAATGAACAAGGATATGTTTGAAGTGCTGCAACATATTGGTGTAGGCGCATTTGGACGAGTTTCCCTGGTGAAAAAGGTGGGCGGAGTTTGGTTCCCTCCATTGGTGAGTAATTGACGTTGTTATAAGTGGTCGATTTCAGAAAGACTCTGGACAAGTGTATGCCATGAAGAGTTTGTTGAAAAAGGATGTAATCATGAAACAGCAGGTAGGCAAAAACTACAGCTTTTGTTTACTTATTTTTTCAAACAAACAAAGTCACTGTAATTCCTCCATCTCTCGAAAGACCACCGTGATTCGTGAGGGTTAGGTTTTGGTTTTCAGGCAGCACATGTGAAAGCCGAGCGCGATATTCTGGCCGAGGCCGATTCACCGTGGATAGTGAAGCTGTTCTTTTCGTTTCAAGATGACCGTTGTCTCTACTTTGTCATGGAATACGTACCCGGTGGTGATATGATGCAGCTGCTTATCAATAAAGGAATTTTTGAAGAGAAACTGGCACGGTATGTAGATTTGAATGATTTCCGTGTTCCGATTTACGAATTAAGATTTTTTAACGAAATAGTAAAAACTGTCAAAGACTGCATGTGCTATATGAGAACACGAAATGTTTTTCGATAGCGTTTTCCCTGATTCTCTCCTATGTGACTTTCCAATTCGCTTTTCTTACTCATCTTACAGTTTTTTTTTTAATAATTCACGATTAAATGAAAAAGCCAAAGTGACAAGCGGCGCTGTTATAACATGCATAGTCTCAAAATCAAATTACGTCCAAAATCCGTCAAAACGAATATAGCCATCCATAGCTTTCCTTATCGAGATAAATGATTCCCCTGCAGGCAAATGGACTCCCCTTGACTTCGAAAGATTCCAAAAAATCTGTGTATATGCCGCAAACGCACTCAAAAACCAAATAGAACAACAGGTGTTCTCCAGTGGGAGTCAAGTGCATGGCGTATACTGGAGTAGATGATCGGTCGACTGCAATTAATTGTCTGACCCGTCGTCTGATTCGAATAGGAGTGGCTTCCTGAAATTGAGCAACAGTCATTCCTCCTAGATGCAAATTTTTCACGTGGTCGTGGTGATACCTGATCGTTTCGAATTTTTGGCTGAATTTTACAAAGTGGAGTGAAATATTTTTTTTCTTCTTCCCAAACATAAACATTATCCCTAACGACGGAAAATTTCGATTTGTGTAGGCTTTCTCCTTTCTGTTGCTCCTTACGGTTAACTTGTAACATTAAAAATAGGTTAATTTCCCGTTCATGGAGTCACTGGATGATCAAATTCGATTTCAGGTTCTATATCGCTGAACTCACCTGTGCCATAGAATATGTGCATTCGTTAGGATTCATTCATCGGGATATCAAACCAGACAATATTCTGATCGATCAGCAAGGTCATATCAAGCTCACCGATTTTGGCCTTTGCACTGGTCTTCGTTGGACGCATGATAGACGGTAAGCTGGCGAGAACCTTGAGTTTTGATTCGTTCCCCCCCCCCCCCCCCCCNAAAAGGAGCAAATAAGGGTTCCTCCTCGAGGCAGATCACTTCGTGACGGCGTAATCAGTCTTGTCATGGGTTTGTTGATTTTCACTTGACGTAAGAGTTCTCTGTCCCTGTGTCACTGTCATAGGACTGGTACATTGCTCAAAAAGAGTTACTCGGAAGTCCGTGCCCGTTGAAAATATCAAATATCACGTCACTGGCAGCAGATTTCGTTCACCCATACTCTTACCCCAGGTTTGGTCAAAATCAATGAGCATGTCAACAACTAATACTTGAGCCCTATAATTTTACAACATTGCCTGTTTATAAGCTAAGCAGAGCCGTAGAATGGGATGTGTTTCCAGTGACTATCCATGTTTGTTGCGAATTATTTACGGTTAATTACTGTAGGAAATTGGAATCTTACCAAAATTTCGTTCTGTACCAGTTACCGATTTTTCCACTGGTCTGGTATTTTCTGTGTTTTTGATCTCAGTCAACTTATAGCTCCTTTCGATTACGGATTCGTTCAGATACTATGGTCCCGAGAATGTGTCCGATCCAGCACATGTACGAGTTGATTCGTTTTCCCTACCACCAGAAGTGGCTGCAATGGAGCAGAATATGAAAGTTAGTTTATAAAGATAAATTGATAAGAAATTTAGCAATCTAATCAGTACCATAGGGCTCTGCAGGAAATGTAACCAATTTGATTTCAAGGTCCTTAACATTCGACATCAGAAGAAACGTGATCAAGCGCATTCCGTTGTAGGAACAGGGAATTACATGGCTCCAGAAGTGATCCTGAAAATTGGTGAGAATTCCCTGATTGTTTAGGTTTTTCGTAGTTTGCTGCTTAATTTATGTTCTTCTATTTCTAACTACATAGTTACACTAATCTTATTCCGCATAATTTTTGAGGTTCCAAAGGAAAATACACTCACGCACATAAGGGGCACGAGAAGATGCTGTCTTGGTGGCAACACTTGTAAACTGGCTGGCACCTTAACCCATGCGTTGCCTTCCCACTTATACTCTTCGGTAGTCAAAAAGTTGATTAGCTGTTTTAGCTATTTATACTACATTTTGCTTTATACTGTTTGAGGGAGATTGAGCATTAGTTGGCAGACTGCCAGTTTGTGCTTCACTATAGAACTGTATTGACAGAGGGTTAGCGTCATGTGTCCGTTCTGCTAGCCTGCCATGTTAAAGCTTAACTCTGCTCCTT